CTCATGGTGCCGTTGCCGTGCGGTGCCGGGCGTGTGCATGGTGCGTGCTGCCGCCTGGCGGTGCATGCTGCGCGCCATGGTGCCGCTGTCGTGCGGTGCATGCTGCCATGCGGTGTGCGTTGCTGCCTGGCGGTGCGTGCTGCTGTGTAGCGCTGCCAGGCGGTGCCTGCTGTTGTGCAACCTGCTGTGCGTGCTGCTGCCTATGACTATGCCGCAGTGCGCTGCCAGATGGTGTGACCACAACATTACACCCCTCCTAGACTACGAGCTTGTCCTCAAGCTCGTGTTCCGGATACATGGCTTGGGACTCTGCAAATGGCTCAAACGGCTGCACACTATTTCTCAGTCCACCAACAATATGAACAACAGGGACTACCCCGTCTCTCAGTGCATAACGCTGGACTATTTGATGCAGACCCCAGCCACCTTCTTTAGTTTCCAGCTCCCAGGCGTAACCATGGCTTACAGTGACTACACGCTCTGCTGCACTCAGGCCAGCCGCAAGGACATTGAAGTGTTCCCTACCTCCTGGGTCATATAGTTTGAAGTAGTTTTGTGGGAGATCCACATAACAGAAATCACGTACTGGACCACGACCCCGGTGTGCTATGTTGTGGATCATAAGAATGCACCGGGTATGCTTACCGTAGAGGACCTCAAGAGTGGCCTTACCGAAGACAACCATGCGTTTTAAAATATCCTCTCGGCCTTCCCCATATATATTTTCCTCAATATTACGAAACATGGGGCTGTCCATGAACACAAAATCTATGCCATCAATATAAGCTTGGAAGAAAATTACCTCTATATCCTGCCCCTCCACCTTACATCTCTTGCGCACTCCTGTTTCTTGGATTTCTGTATAGTTACCATACGATGGTGCCGCAACCATAACTTTATGTCCACGCCGAGCCAAGGCCTTCGGTAAAGCCCCAGGAACATCGCCAAGCCCTCCTGTCTTCGTCAAAGGAGCGCATTCTGCAGGTTCTACTATAATGTTCGTGACATCGTCCCCGGCCACAGGAGGAGACTTTACAGTTTCATCCTCCATGCGCTGATCCTTGGAAATAACTGCAGCTGTAGGGGCAGCGATCTGTTGTTCGCTGCATGCCTCTGCCCAGTTCGGACGGCGTCTGTTCGTGTTGGTGGTTCCCTTCGAACTCATTTCTTTGTTGGAGAGGAATGCTTCCAGCAGGCGTCGCATCTCCCGAACGTCTTCCCTGACTTCACGAACCTCCATGCTGGTTTCTGCCAGTTGGTGTTCCAATTCGTGGACCTTGGAAGACAGTTGCTCCATATCGCTCGTGACGTTTGGCTCTGATACCAATTTGTTATGGTCCCGCGCGTAGGATCCCGTCATGGCGCGCTGCTGCCTGGCGGTGCGTGCTACGCGCTATCGGCGGTGCGTGCTGCTGTGCAACGCTGCCAGGCGGTGCTTGCTGCCTATGACTGTGCCGCAGTGCGCTGTCAGATGGTGTGACCACAACAAGAAACCTCTCCACTTTGCCACAAATCCTCTCAACTGGCAGGGCTTGATCAAGAAAAGTCCGGCCAGAGGCCAGCCACCTACACCGCCTGATAGACCAAGTCTCCCCCATCGAAAACCTGTCCCACTGATCCCTCTTTGTCTCTTGTAGTAGGATGATGTTGGCTTTTCAACTGTCAAGCAATTTTTTCACTGTAGCTCTCTTCCTAGGGTCGCCAAGACCCCAAATATTCCATGTAATGATGGAGAAATTCATCAGTGAGAATGGGAAGAAAATGACTTACCTCCACACAAGCCTCTCTCCTCTACCTCCCTTGCTCAAAGTCCAGTTCAGGTGCTGCTGCACCCTCAACGTCCATGGCCCCTTTGAAATCAGGTTGTTTAGAACTTCCTCCCTCAAGCCACTGTTCAGTTTTTCAATTGCCTCAAACAGGGCTAAAACCTCCTGCTCATGACACCCCCTCCCCCGAGGATGCTCCCAAATAGTTGCTGATATCCTTGATATTTGACCTAGGCCATGATTATAAAAAAAAAAAGATATTGGACCTAACTCAATCCAGGATGCTGCTAGAGGAAAACTTCCCCTCCTGATCTCCTATAGTCCTATGTAAATTATTACTTTTTTCCTTGCATCTTGTTTCATAAATTCAATGAATAATTTCCCCTTTGACTCAACCTTCTTGTTGCTTTGCCTAGCAATTGCTTCGCTTGGTCATGGCCTAGTCATACAATGTCTGCACGAGGTTGCTCCTAGCTAAAATGGTCCATTCGGTGTTATCCTAATGGCTAGGGCACCAAGCAGATGCCTATGCAGCACGTATAATAAATGTGCTTTTTAACATTTGCAGTGTGACTGGCGTTTTAACTTTCTTTTTAGGTGAAAAAGAGGGTAGTAGAAAACCTTATGTGCTGAATTCGGCCAAGCTTCTTGTGAAAGGAAGAGTAGAAAGTTGGGGATTTCAGCAAGAGACAAAGGAAAGGGAAGAAAAGAGAAGAAGGTCGACTAGGATAGATTGACTTAACCCTAGCCGCCAGCCCCTCCATTCTATTTATAATTAACGTAAGTATGAGATATTACAAAGATGCCCTAAGTAGGGCGGCAACTCAACCTAAGTAATTACAACTCTTTAAAAAATAAAGACTAATGGACCCAAGGCCCAACAACATCTTAATTTAAAAGGAAATAAACTAAACACAAGTCGGCCCACTCAACAC